TGGATTCAATTTATTTCACCCTCAGCTTTATCTTGTAGTACCAATAGTAGGTACCTCAACTTAAAAGGAAAATTCATCCATTTTGGGAAAATCTAGAGATTTTTTTAATCTTGTTCAATTTTTCCTATATTTTTTTTAAATTTTTGCCTGTTCAGCGCCACTGCACGAGAAGTAGCATTCTACTCAATGTTAACGAGCATCTATATTTAATCTTGCTGTATACTTACCTAATTATTGCTACTTTATTTTACATATTTTATATTTTTTCTAAATATTTTTTTTTTATATAAATTAATTTTCCAATTTGCAATACCTAGTTGCTCATACCTGATTCGGTGTGTCTGCACAATAATAGTTTTATAATAAACTAATTTTATATTAATTTTTTTCTTTGCAAGATACTCGCTTTTTAATAGAATTCAGGAATTCAGTATTCCAAACCATGGTGTACCTGATACTTCTCATTCTCTTTTGGGTACCTATTACACACTATCATTAACTGGATTCTGGATCAGCTGGAGTGACGTCACACCAGCAATCTATCCTTTTTCCCGGATATAGGAAACAACCCTAAAAGCTTCAGTTCATGGAAGTGAAACCCCAACATCCATTGAAGTGCTCCGGATTGGAAAGGTACATATACTGTATCAGATTCACCAGAAAAACTAAATGTCGAGCTAAATGTTCATAAATAACTTCAAAATTTTTAAAACAAACTCAGTAGCTACATTGTTAATATTTACAAGTACTAAATAAAATTATTGTTTGTTGGAAATTGAGTGGTTTAATTTGCACATAAAAGGGCTACACGTTTTGTTTATTTTTGAATTCTACGACCCTATAGGTTCTCTTGCTCTAAATTGCAAATAAGTAAGTTATTAGAGGATTTTTTGGAAAACACAAGTGTTTCGCCAAAGCTTCAATACACTGCTAATTACTCATACTATGAGTTGTATTGCTCTGACACGGTCAAATTTACGCAATACTTGGTGGTTTTGCTTTGTAAGACAATGGAGAAACCTGAATTCTCTTTCATTGAGTACTATCGCTAATTGCAGACCGGTTTCGGACTTGTTATGTCCTCGTCAGTGCAATATAAGCGGAAAGCACAACCAACTAATAACTTGGATTCGATACACTGCCAAGTATTTTTCGATTTTTCGAAAATTTATTTTCGAAAAACTGATTTTACAAATAAGTATTTTATTTGTAACAGGGTAAGGACAATAATTCCATTGTAGTATCGTCAGAGGAAAAAGCAGATCTCTTTGCCAAACGATCTGCATCCAATTCCACGAATGAGGACTAGTGGCGGACCTAGGATCTTTGGTGCGCGATGCAAAAAAATGGGGCCCTGTCATGCTTTTTAAGGTATTTTTTTTTTGTGGTGTTGGGGTGTGAGGCGAGAGTGCGAAAGTTATTTATATTTTGGAAGCTTTTTACAGCCAAATATGAAATTAGATTCAATTAAAAAATAAGTTTATTAAGAACATAATATATGAGATAATATGAAAACACGACACGTACTCTACTAGTACTCACACAAGCACCAAAGCCATCAAAAACAAACACTAAAAAGCACCCTACTGTACTGTCCGTACTCCACCAACAAGTTATCTCTGGAGTCTGGTTGGAAGACAATAGCTGGAAAAGCCGCGTAAAGTCTATTCGCAGGAATAACCAATAAGGGGAGCTGGAATGAGTTCTAGTATTGAGAGAGCTTGAGACACCGTTGCAAAATGTATCGTAATGAGTGCTAGTCTTGGTATGTTGGTATTTTGAACAAAAAGAGCTTATCCAAACTAATCCGTCCTCGTAATGAACGCTAGTCTTTGTATGTTAGTATTTTAGGCGGAACAGCTAATCCAAGCTTACCCAAACTCGTCCCCTTTAATAATCTTTGAAAAAATTAAAGCCTTACAAAAAATGTATTGCCTCTAACTAAAATCGAATCTGGGTCCATTTGCTCCAAAAACCGTACGTAACCCAACTGTTCCCTACCACCATGCCTGTGAAAGTAATCGTAGAAATCGAAGTAATAACGTGCGCAACATAATACCTAACTTATAACGATACATTTCGCAATGGCGGATGCTCCTTGTTCTCTTCACATTCCCGCGAATAGACTCTTTCCAGCAGGATTCCCTAGAGGTATACAACGTTGCCTTCTCTTTCGAAATTTAATTTGTTTTTTTTTTGTCGAGTTGTTTTTTATTTATTTTTATCGATGCTTTTAGAATTGGGTTGTGTGGAGGCCTCTTAGCTCTGGGGGCTCGACGCAGAGTGCGTCATTTACTTCATGTTGGATCCGCCACTCATGAGGACAATGACAGAGCACCACAGGTTAGTTCTTACATGGATAAAGTTGTATTACTATGATGAAAATTCTTCTGCAACTAGACTGATAAATCTTGTGATCCCGACGACATTCCACCAAATGTCCTCAAAACTTGCGCACAAAAATTGGATTTAGTTCTTGGCAAACTGTTTTCACTCTCTTATAGTCGAAGTGTTCTCCCGTCTACTTCACAATGTGCCAGAGTGCAGCTCCTCCCAAAAAAGGACTATTCCTATTCAATCTGACTGATATCCGTACTTTGGAAAGTAATGGAAAAGGCAGTCAGCCTGAAACTGATTGAATACCTCGAAACCCATCTCTGAAAAACAGTACGGGTTTTGTTCTGAAAGATCAACATGGTACGTCAATCATATTTGAAACTCGACTCTCGAAAAACATGACGAATCCAGAATTGTAACATTGGACATGTTTTTGATCACGTGTGGCACAAAGGTCTCCTCAGCAGACTTCCAACGTATAGTCTTCGGAACAAATTTTGCAATTGGCTGCGGACCTTTCTGTAAGGCAGCTCACTGCTTTTTGTGTTCGATGGTGGGTCTTCTGATATACTACCTATTAATTCGGGCGTTCCTCAAGGCTCAATTCCGTTTCCAACACTGTTTTTCATTTCTAGAAAGGATTCGTTCAATGTGACAAGAAACCCCATATAGGTACAGCTTTACGGAATATAGTAGATTGATGGCATCTTTCTCTTCTGACAAACCGCTCACTGCAACCACTTCCACCCGCCTTGCCCAAGAACAGATTCACTCTATCAACATTGATCCTGACACTATCACCAACTTGGCCCTTAACAACCTAGTCAAATTCAATGCTCCCAAAACTCAAGCAACAGTATTCTCAAGAAAGAAATCTTCGCCAATAGATAACCCAGTTTTAAGGATGTCGCGACAAAATCTTTTTATCAATCCCACAGTATCTCTTCTTGGGGTGACCAACTTGGCAGGACCTCGATTCCAAAACCGCTTTATTAGATGCAGTACAAAAAAATGGGAATAAAAATGATCGATAATCCAGCTCTCACCAATTTATTGCAATCTTTCGAACACAGATGCAAGGTGGCCGACTTGTCGTTATTCGATCGCTATTACCAAGGGTGATGTTCTGATGATCTGGCCAGCCTCATTCCAGCTAGAAGAAGTTATTTAAGACCCTCACAGCCATTCCATCAATATGTGGTGAAGTTGGCTACGCCGAGGACCTCTAAATATAGGGCTTCTTTTTGGTGGCATACTGCCTACATCTGGAACTTCCTGCCGGTTACTGCATTTCCTGAACAATTTAACCTCAACGTGTTCAAACGGAGGGTTAATCGTCACTTAATTTCTTCCATTTATGTTACCGCTAGGATAGTATAGACTTTCGTGAGTGGACCAATATAAAAAAAAGGAAAGATTGCAGGTAGGAGTAATTTTATTATTGAATACCGCAAAACTGTTAGGGAAGCTTTTACATTAATTTTTTTTTCAAAACATTTCATCTCTATTCCTCAATCCTTATGGTTAATCGTTGTTTTGAATATATGTGAACTATATTACTCCACGATTACAGTATGAACATTCAATACAACGTAACCAAAAAAAAATTAGCTAGGTATTGTTTGGCAACGCTATGCACTTTCAGGAAAGACAAGACATTCGCTAATTTAAAGGGAAGATCGGTGGAAACTTGTAGATACTGTTGCGTATGGGAGTTCGGTTCAAGAAGATTAGCACTACCACAACTTTCCAAGTCACGTCAATTATGCGTAACTATTCACAAAACTATATAAACTGATCAACTTACTAGTGCTTACAGCCGGCAAGTACATTCTGCTGGAAAGTATTCCGAAGTTAATGATATTTTGGTGTCATATGTGGGTAGTCTGTGGAGTGAAATCTGAGTTTTCGACCTCGATGACCCTGTGCTAGTGTGGTGCCCATATAGGGCACACCCTGTATAGTTATTATTTACTGTAATTGCTAAACCAATATAATATTAATGTGCTGAATAAGCAGGTCACACTGACCCAGCTGGTAATGCAATACATATTTTGACAACGAATCTAATACAGAACTTCTAAGCAGCAACACGTCTTTTATTAAGTCCTTGGATGAACGATCCTGCGGGTTACCCAATATCCAAAGGGTTATAGTAGAAACCCATTACACTAGCTTGGAGTCCGTAGTCTCTGAGCGTACTCCAGTAAACAGTTTCATTTGCTCATTGACACTTTGGAGACATCCATCGAGAAGGTACACTATCACTGACACCATGACTACGAGTCAGCCCGCCATTGCTCTTCATAGCTCGCATCAGAACCTGTTCTATGGTCATATCTGACCAGATGCCTGATCAGAATGTATCGGTTCTGCGAATAGTGAAGTATCCCTTAGTGGTGACCTTTTCATATTCTCGAGAATCTTTTTTCTCTTTCGAGGTGATCATATCCTGGTAGTACTCTTGGCATAATTCAAGTGGCCTGCAGCATGGAATTAGGGGATCATTTCTCTGACTGAGTCCAGGTGGAGGTTCCAGTCACCCGTACGTTCAGTTTTGATGAAATTTCTCATTCGCGTACACAGGCGGAAGCATTGGATCCGTAGTATCGCAGTTGGTCCTCTATCCTCAATTTCGTTCAGCACTTGAATTTAACTTTCACCTCATGCAATGCTGGATGCCTAAAATCTATGTTGAACTGGTGAAAAGAATCGATAACTGTATCCAGTGCAAACAACTCTTCTTCTGTCAATCCCAAAACTTCAAATATCAGACCACCCAAAGCAGCGTACGCAAGGGCACGTACAGCCCTGGCGTAAGCATATCCAGACAGTATCTTATCAACACTGTTTGCTGACATTAGGAGGTGGAAACCTCCTAGCCTCACAATGACCTTACTGAACACTGGAATGGAGGCAAAAATATCACGAGCCTTCCAATACAATGGTTAATTCGCCTACATTCTTCAATTGCAGTGAGGATGGATGTACAAACTGTAGAGTAATCATTTGGAGGTGCATTGATGAACGGGAGGCACACAATCTTGGAGCATTCATATTTATCTTCTTGTTCCCTCAATTCCATGAATCCATTCCAACAGGGTACCTACTGATAATGAGAGCGTGATTTTTCTATGCAGCCAGGCAATATCAGAGGCAGGAGGTACAATTTCCTGTAAAGAGCTGATACTTGTGTCAAACAATTTTACAGTTTTCAATCCTCCATTGGGTGGTCGGTGATACTGTTCAACTTCAACAATGCCAGCCTGGCCAATTAGGTCGGCTGTTGGAGTGAATTTCATGCGAACTACATTTGTCTCACTGGTCACAGCATTTCGTGGAGTGACGGCCATTAGCCCTCCCATGGCGTGGAATGTGCCGTTTCCATCTAGCGTGTTAACATTGAAGTCGGCGTTGTCGGAACTGAACTGGCTGAATAGATTGACTGACTCATCAACTATAGCTTTCTCCGCCTGTAGCACATAAGAACTCTCAAGTCTAGAAGCTTCATCATAGGTAGCGGAAAATTCTAACTTCGCTAGGAGGTTTACAGGAAGTTTCGATCCAAACTTCTTGTAAACATACGTTGCAACACCAATCATAATGGGTGACAAAAATTATTTTGTTCGGACGGCTAGCATAATGGCATGTGTCAAAGCAAGATATTTTTTCTTCCACGATTCCAGTGAACCCCGTTTATTTGGCAAAATAATAGTATGAAGAAGAAGAAGCAGTGTCTCAGGAACAAACATGATGAGAATCACCATAAAAATTATCAATTGCGGGTAAGCTTCAGTGTTAAACATTTTAGATCGGGTATCCTCTAGAATAATTTCACCTGCAGTTTTCACAATTCGATTTCTTTATTCTTGAGGGTCTCCGCTTTTTTCGTTCAGGTACCACTTGTCAGACAAAATTCTGTGGCCAGTGTTCTTGAAACATACGACACTTTCTCTGTTGAGTGAACCAGAGATGATTATGTCATTTTCAAATTTCTTCTTCAGGCTCTTTTTCACAGTTTTAACGTGTGGACGAAAATTTTCGGGTACCTTATCAAGCAACTGTCCAAGGGAAAACTGGCACTCGTCACTGTTCTCCTCGAGAAAACTGAATATAATTTCCATGGCTTGATCTATGTTGGGGGTAGGTTATCCCGGCTTTTTGTGGACACGTGTAGGTATTTTGTAAACATTTTGAATAGGTACGCTTTTGGTGGTATCCCGCGTTAAGCGCAACTAAATCTGTTTCCATATTAATCAACAGGCTTATACGGTCTTCAATTTTTGGTCCTTATTCATCACCTCGCTGTCTTGCTTATGACAAAATCGTGTTTGCTAACTCTGAAAGCGTCACTTTGACCATAGGATTGCGTCTTTCCTAGGGTAACTTCATTTATTTTTGTCTGTACTCCTCAGTGACCTCGTCATCGCATAAGAAGCACCTGCTTTTGAAATTGAATGATAATGATGTACCTGCGCGCGTTCGTTTGGGGACAGTTGTAGGGGTGTCACGCTCACGACGCAAGGAGGCCAAAATCAAAAAGGTTTATTTTCCAAAAATAATTATTGAAATAGAATACAATAAAAAAAAATCAGGGGACATTAGACTGTGAGTGCACGTGAAAGAGACGAGGATGAAAGATGTTTATCCCATGCTTGGTTTGAATTATGTTCGGACGGGAATACATTTTTGACAAGTTGTTTTTTTGTTTTTTGTATCTTTGAACCACTGTATCTCTATTAATATTCCGTTGAATGATACATTTGACCAGCTAAATTTGAAGTAAATTTAATTCTCTTCAACTTTATACCTAGGTGTATTCTGCTAAAAACGCATGGTTTAGAAGTTATAAGCAAAAAACTGAAAAAGTTTGAAAATTTCTAGGTCTTCCGACTTCCCCTCAAGTTAGCACATGGTCCTCGAAGTCGAAAGCTTAGATTCTACTCTACAGACTATCCACAAACGACATGCCAAAATATCATTTACTTTGGAATACTTTCCAGCCACCCCCTCTATTTATTACTTGCCTGCTGGTCTATACTGGCCAGTTCAAAACTGTTTCGCATCGACGTATAGGACTGCTTTTATACCGTTTTAAGCCTCTCAAAAATTATCGCGTAGAATTCTCTAATCCAACTCCAGTGGATAATGCGTTAGGCTAGATTATTTCTCCAGAGAACCGGAAATTAGTGGGAAATTAGTTTCTATGGATGTTTTTTAGGAGAAAAGGTAGGCAAGCTTACAACAAATTGGCTTATGAAACTATCGAGTTTTTGAAGAACTATGAACTATCACTTTCATGATGCAAATCAACATAAAATAAGCAACACCTGCCTACTATTTTGAGATGTAGATCAGCTAATCGAAGTTGAAAAAATATAATTGGTTTATTTTTATCCTTACAACGGCCCAAACATAGACTCTCGCGATAGCTCTCCTATAGACATGAAATAAACAATACAGTGTGTCCGAAATTCGAGTCTCTACATGGGGATTTCGCTAATTATGAGAGATACAGGGTGGCTCAAATTAGGAAAGTTTTAAGTAATTTATTGCTCATTTATATCCTGTTGTTGAATTTGCTTCAAAGTTTTCTGTTTCCTAGAAATCCGAGAAAAACTGAAAATAGCCAATTTTGTTTTTTGTCAATAGTTCATAAATCGTTAACTTTAGACTTTTCTAACTTTAACATTATTAAGACACTTTTTTGAGACGGATATTTTCGTGATTTGAAAACATTCCGATCCTCGTTTGTTTTCGAGTTATTAACCAAAACTTTCTTATTTCTTATGGCGGCCATCTTCGATTTCAACAAAATAATATTCCGCGAAAAAAATCCTTTAAAATGATGTATTACAAGCAATGAAAACGATTTGCAAGTCCTTCAAAATTACAGTTGGAACCGATATTTTGCTAAATTTGGCAACAATGCTCATAGTTATAAGAATAAAACCAAATAAGTATGGTTTAATACCTAAGATCGGTATTTTTGAAGTCTTCTGGAAATTTTACTGGATGAAGAAAAAATAAGTAGGTGAGGTATTCCACATGTTTTTTTTTTTTTTTAATGTAAACAACTTGAATTACAGCTTTCCTTCCTTTCTTCTTTCGGTTTTACGCCTCGGGAAAAATTATACCAATTTGGATATTCCAGATACAATTCTTGTTTTTGCGTGAAGGACAAATTTGCACCCTCAGATTTTCAGTCTTGAGAGTCTATTCGACCTTGTATTATTATTTTAATAAAATATTCTTTTTCTCCAAACGTCAGAAAAACGTCACTTTGTTAACTCCTGTCAGAATGTCAGAAATTTGATTTCTATGCTGCTATGCAAATCCAGCGGGTTAACACCTGTCGAGGTGGTAGAAATTTAAGTTCTATGCTGCTTGGCAACCCCAGCGGCAGCAAAAGTACTTTTAGTGCCGCTGGAGCGGCAGTAGAAGTACTTTTAGTGCCGCTCGTACATTTACTGCCGCTCAACCATTCACTTGCCCCCGAGCTTACCCCATTCGTTTGGAGAAAAAATAGCGTGTTGCATACGGAGTAGAAGCACTTTTTTGTGCTTCAGCAGTATTGCAAACCTACCGCTTCAGCACAAAAAAGTAAAGCTTCTACTCCTAATACAACAATATACTATTAATTCGAGTTTTATTTTATCAAGACAATAATATTACGATGGGTCGCTTTTTTGGCTTCTTTATCTGTGACGTGGACTGATAGGAAATTCCTATCAGTCCATGGAATATCCAAATTGGTATAATTTTTCCCAAGGCGTAAAACCGAAAAAAGAAAGGAGGAAAAGCTGTAATTCATGTTGTTTACATTACAAAAAAAAAAAACATGTGGAATACCTTACCTACTTATTTTTTCTTTATCCAGTAAAATTGCCAGAAGACTTCAAAAATACCGATTCTAGGTATTAAATCATACTTATTTGATTTTATTCTTATAACTATGAGCATTGTTGCCAAATTTAGCAAAATATCGGTTCCAACTGTAATTTTGAAGGACTTGCAAAACGTTTTCATAGCTTGTAATATATAATTTTAAAGGATTTTTTTCGCAGAATATTATTTTGTTGAAATCGAAGATGGCCGCCATAAGAAATAAGAAAGTTTTGGTTAATAACTCGAAAACAAACGACGATCGGAATGTTTTCAAATCACGAAAATATCCGTCTCAAAAAAGTGTCTTAATAATGTTAAAGTTAGAAAAGTCTAAAGCTAACGGTTTATGAATTATTGACAAAAAACAAAATTGGCTATTTTCAGTTTTTCTCGGATTTCTAGAAAACAGAAAACTTTGAAGCAAATTTAACAACGATATAAATGAGCAATAAATTCCCTAAAACTTTCCTAATTTGAGCCACTCTGTATCTCTCATAATAAGCGAAATCCCCATGTAGAGACTCGAATTTCGGACACACTGTATACTATGGAAGTTTGTTTCATTCGATTTTTTTCCTACTAAAACTGTCTAGAGATTAATCATTAAAAATTCCTGCAAAGACTTTAAATAATTCAAAAGAAATGCTCGGTTTCCGAATTTTATGAAAAAAATGTCTCCTCCTCACGAAGCTTGGTATTAATCAGCAAAAGACCATTCCTAATGAATTCCTATTGTCGAAAATTTTAATGAAAAAAAAAAGAGGGGAAAATCAAGTGGATTTTAATTAAATCTTCTGATTACTTTCGCATATAAAATGAACCGTATTATTTAGTTCCCACTTACAGATTATCTGTTCGAATCTTTATGTTCAAGATATGATATGTCATCCTTATTTCATTTCTAGGGTAGATATTTTCATGTGAAAGTTTAGTGGCTGTTTCTTTAAATAAAATCATGCACTAGCATATTGAGCCATAACAAACTTAATGTAAGCTCTCAGAGAAAGTGTCCATACTAAGGCAAGCTTATTAAAATATTCATGTCCTGTAAGAGCTGCAAAGTAAACTTTTACCCTACCTATATGAAACGAAAATAGGTATAACATTAATACGAAGACGGAAACCAAAATAGTATATAGAGTATCTCATAAGCACTTTTCTTGACAACACAGGGGTTCAAATATCGTATAATCAAAT